GCCCCCCCCCCCCCCGAGTCCCGCCCCACGCGGGCAGCACGTGCGCGCCGGGCCCGCAATGCGGCGAGCGCGCGCCCGCCTCACACTGCGCGCGCGCCCGCCCGCGTCACCACCCCCCCCACGCCCCCGGCCCACCCTTATTCTCTCCATCCTCATCCTCACTTCCTTCATCTTCATCCTCACCATCCTCCTCCTCCCCCTACGCCCCGCCGCGCCTGCGCGATCACCGCCCCGCCCAGCCCCGCTCGGCCCGCACCTGGGTGCCCCTCGCCCACGGATTCGGAGGTGAAGAGGAAAGTGCCCTCCTCGATGAACACCTCGTGGAAACCGTTCAGCTGCCCGTTCATGGTGGCGCGATGGGCGGCGATAGGCGGAAGGGAAAAGCGCAGGACCGGCAAAACCCAGGCACGGCAGCGACGGACTGAACGCGGCCCCTACCGCACCGCCTCTAGTTATAGCCTCCTCGCTCCGCCCCGCCGCTGCGCCCAGCCAATGGCAATCGTAATACGCGCCACGGGGGCGGGCGGCCAGAACCACTGCAGTCGGGCAGGGGAGCACGTTACGTAACGCGGAGCTTGGGCTCAATCTCCGGGGCAGCCCGTAGCACTCCGCTGCCAGCCGGGCACTCACCGGAGATAAACCGCCCGTCAGGCCATCTCCTCTGCCCCGCACTGCGCAATGCTGCGGACGGACACTGATACTGCCGCCGTACTCCCCCGTAGTGACCGCATGGTGACTCCCGCGCGGCCCGGCAGCTCGAGGCGCGCGGCGGCGCACGCATGCGCCCGACAGCGGCACGGTGCACGCATGCGTACTGCATAGCCCGCGGGCAGCGAGGACGGCCCCGCCCCCCCGCCGCCATCTTGCGCAGACCAGCGTCGCCATTGTGCGACCTCGGGCCCGTCGGGACCGACCCCGGCACGGCCCTGCCCTGTCCCCTGCCCCCGCTTGCAACCGCTCCCGTGGCTACCCCAGGCGCTGAGGCCCGGCGGGGCGGGTCTGAGCCCGGGCACGGCCCTGATGGTGCCCTAGGCCGTTGGGGCTACTTGACGCCTGATGCAACCGGCGCCCGGTGTTGCCAGTACAGGAGCGGCTCCGGCTCCTCCCGCCGCTGCCGGGCCCGGCTCGGAGCACCCCCCTGTATCCAACCACGACGCAGAGGGCTCGGCGGGAGCTTGGGCAGGACCCTGTGCTCAGGACTGTCAGAACCTGACAACCACAGACAGACGGCCCGGAGAGATGGACATCTCGCACCCACGCAGCCACACCTGACAAACACCCAGAGCCCCCAGTCCTGGGACAGACGGACACCCCTGTGGGCAGGACAGACACCCACAAACACCCCCGAGTCCAGGACAGGACAGCTGGACACCTCCATGAGGGGCGGGGCCGTGGGACAAGCCCCTCCCCTACATTTGCATAGTGGGCGGCCCCGCCCCTCACCGTGCCTTTGCATTGGGGTCCGGTTCCATGGGGCGCTCCAGGCCCCTCTGATCGGTACCGGGGGGCCCAATCCCCTGCCCCTTCCCCCACCACCACTGGAGACCGTCTGGATTTTTGTAAAAAATGGTTTATGGGTTCCATTTTTGTATAAAACAAAGGGGCAGCTGAGCCACTCACCCACCCCCCCAGCTGCCACCCCACAGCCCGCAGTGTGTCCTATCAGAATCTAAACCCATCCCAATGTTTCCTCTACAGTCAATCCTCTCTATGCTCTTCCTTTGAACTACTCCTTAAAAAAAATCCCTCGTATCCCCGAGATGTTCCTGTGCCCAGGTACAGTACGATGACGGGGGGATTCGGTGCTGCGCTTCCTCTACGCCGTTTTCTGTTGTCCCTTCTTTCCAATCAGGGACTTGTGGATGTGGGGAATGACACCTGAAGAGAAGAGGGGAGAAATCCTGTCAAGCCACTTGCAGAATTCCCAAGAAACAAAAAAATCCTCCATTTCCCATTTTGTGGAAATCCAGTGTGAATGTCGAGTGCGACCCCCTCAGTGTGAATCTAGGGAAGCAGCAAGCCCGTGCATTTACACCAACTGCCAAATTCCTATCTGGTTCCCCACATTTCCCCTTCTTGCTAAAATTCCTACTCAAGGATGGAAACACGGGAACACCACCTACCTCCACCAGCAATGGTGGCTTTGATCAGGGAATCCAGCTCCTCGTCACCGCGGATCGCCAGCTGCAGGTGCCGGGGCGTGATCCGCTTCACTTTCAGATCCTTGGAAGCATTCCCGGCCAGCTCCAGCACCTGCAGGACAGCAGGAGGAGGTGGGAATGCCAAGGGCAGGGGGGCTGGGGCTGGGGAGGAGGCTCCTACCTCAGCGGTCAGGTACTCGAGGATGGCTGCGCTGTACACAGCCGCCGTGGCTCCCACGCGCCCGTGGCTGGTGGTCCGAGTCTTCAGGTGCCTGTGGATGCGGCCGACTGGGAACTGGGGGGCAATTAACAACCTCATTAACACCTACAGACCCCCCCCACAATGTGCATATTTACACCCTACACTGTTGATTTGGGCTGCAGCTTCCAGGACCAACACTCCAAAGAGAGGACTTAAGTATCACTATCCAGTTTATTTATTACTAATTAATATGTAATATTAATGTTATAATAATACATTATATTGTTATTATATATATTGTATATTGCTATCATATAATTTAGTAAAATGCAGCTATATCTTGTATAGCATGAAATAATTGTATTTTAATTATTAGTTAGAAAATATAATTAATTCTCCCAATTAATCCTCCCATCCTCTCTGTCCCACCTGACAGCAAACCCCCTCTGCAAGCCCAGGGCTCCTCGTCGCTCCAGGTTAAAATACTTAGTTTTTTAAACCCCAGAAGAAGAGGTTTTGGGGCCCTCCAGCTGCTCAGCATTCCATGTGGTGGTGATTCCCTGTGCCATACCTGCAGCCCGGCTCTCTGGGAGCGCGACACGGCCTTGGCCTTGGCCTTGCCGCTGTCCTTGCCCGCCTTGCCTCCAGCCTGGGGGAGAAAGGGGCCCATTAATTAATCCCCGAATCCAAACAATCTCGTTAATTCTAAGCCAGAGGGACCTGCTGCAGGATAATCTGGCAGCTCCCTGGCAACTCAGGGCCTCTCAAACCACGCAAATTCAAGGGGATGATAAACAAGGGAGGTTTTCAGGGTGCAGCAGCTGCTCCCTCACCCAGGTGTCTTATTCCTCCTGCCACTAATCCCACTGTTTTCCAGAAGATGCCAAGTGGGGGGTAAACAGCCCAAAATCCCATTGTTGGGCATTTTTTTCCACCATTTATGAGCTCAGCTTGTTTTCAGATTCAATTTCTCCACATACTGACACTGTACACTAGGCAGGACACTGTTCCTGTACATGGGAATGTGAATCCTGTGGGATTCAAGGGTAATTCCCCTCCTGGAAATCACCCAGGAGCCCCAGAAATTGTGGATTTAATGAAAATCATGTTGAAAGGGGTGGAAATGCCAAAGCCAAGAGTTTGGGAGTTGCTGAGCAACAAGGAAGAGCCAAGCATGGGTTTGCTGGGCTCTCCCATCCGCTGTCAGGAAACCCATGGATTCCAGGGATATGGGAAGACCCCGTGACATCATTAATCACTAATGAGAGCTGTTCCTAATGACAGTGAGAGCCACGGGTGATGAAGGAAGGCAGAGGGAGCTGCACCAGATGTCAGCAACTCAAAATCTGCTCCAGGTAAAAAAAAAACAGGGATAACAATCCCCAAAACCAATTTCTAGAGCCCACACAGAGACAAGAAACAACAGCAGAGGGAGATGGGAGCCTGAAAACACCCTGGATACTCACAATCCCTATTTTTATAGCATATATTGATCCCACAATCCCCATCCCCTCTAAAAATGAGGAATGTCAGCTCATGGTGAGGGAGCTGAAAGGATCCAGGAGAGCAAATGGAGCATGTTAATCCTTAAAACAAGATGCTGCTTAACGAAGATCTGGGTCACATCCCAGCCAGGTGGGAATATAACACAACGTTCAGTTCAAACACTGGAAAAAAAAATTAGTCCCAAGGGGGCATTAATTAATCCCGGGCTGATTAAAATAAGCAGAGGGCACTGAGTGAAGCCATGGGGGACCCAGCAAATCCGCTCTATATCCCTGCAGCCATGACAGGAAGGGTCTTCAGGGATAACTTGGAGAAACTGTGAAGCACCAAAAGTTACTTAATCAGGAGAAAACATTGCTCCATAAAACTGCAAAACTCAAGGAGGGCGTTTTGGGGGAAGCAGGATTTGAGGGGTGGAAAGGGAGATTTATGGGCAAGAAAGGGGGAGGCAAGGGGGATTTGTGGATATTTCCTTGCTCTAGGAATAAAAGGCAGTGTTGGGAAAAGCACTGGCTGTTCTCACCGAGAGCTTTTATCAGCCAGCTGTGAACTTTCCCACTGCCCCATCAGGTTTTCCAGCCTGGAGCTGCCTGCCTGATAGATCTTCACGGGGAGGGATTGGCTAAGAAAAGCAAGAAAGGTTTCGCTGTGGAAATCTCGAGGTTTGTCCCAGTTTTCACCAACCCAACACGGGGTTTGCAGAGGGAATACGGGAAGTTCCCCCAGCCCAGTCGCCTCCAGCTCCCTATAGGAGATCATCCCACTCCGTGCTGGGAGCGAGGATTCCTCCCTCCAGAGGAAGCAATGCCGAGGAATTCTCTCCTCACCCTTCGGGTTGCGGCTCCCAGGGACTCAGACAATCCTTGTGACATCTCCATCCCTTCTCTCCACCAAAGCCCCTCACTGGGAGCACATTCCCATGCTAAATCCTCCCTGGGTCTGACCCACTGGATCCTTCACAGCAGGCAAACTTTTTTTCTTTCTTATTGCTTCAAACAGGATAAAACCCTTCCAAGCAGCAACTTCTTATCTCCTGCAGCACATTCCCAGACATCTCCGAGCACAAGTTCTTGGCGGCAGCAGAAGTTGCATAATACAATGGTGTTTCCATCATCGCGGAGGGATCGGGGCCCTTACCACCAGCTCCACAAATCCAGAAGCCCCCCACGGAACTCCCTCGAGCCTACCTGTGGATCCACAGAACACCCCAAGAATCCACAGAATCCCCTGAAACACCCACCACCCCTCTCCCACCCGGTACCACAGAACCCCGCCAAGTCCCCTACAAATCCACAGAAATCCCTTGCGGATCCACAGAAACCCCCCAAGCCCTCTGCAGACCCCCAGAACCTCTCCTGTGGATCCACAAGATACCTTTACAGAACGACAGAATCCCCCGCAGCTGCACAGAACCACCCGAGTCACCCTAAAAATCCCCTATGTACCCACAGAACCCTCCCGCAGACCCAGGGAGTCCCCCAGGCACCCTGCGAATTCACGGAACCCCCCCCCAACGAGCCTAAGAACCTCCCAAAGCATCCTGCAGATCCGCGGAACTGCGCACAGAGCCACAGAACCCCTGTACCCCTTATCTCCCTGCCCGCCTGCGCTGACAGCTCCAGACCCGGCTCCCCCCATTCTCCCTACGGAGCCACAGGAACGGGGCACCGGAGAATGAACTTCCTTCTCTTCCCCCACGGAGCGGGCCTTTCCCCGAGAGGCGAGCTGAGATGTACCCGCGTACCCCTGGAGGAGGCGCCGGGCGGTTGACAGACCCCGCTCGGGCCCCTCGATTGACGCTTCCCCTACGACAGCCACTTCCTCCCGTCCAACCGAGCCGCAACCGGAACACACCGCGACCGACGAGACACCGGCCAACACTGCACCGCTCTGACAGCGCTGGAGGGCACCGGCGGGGCCGGATTTGGAGGGCAGGACAAACCCCCTCCCCAGAAGCCAGGCGGCAGCGGCCACGGGGCACCGGGGGAGCGCCAGGCCGGACCCAAGGTCACGGATAGGGGCCCGTCCTCCTCCCCCCGCCCGGCCTGGGCTAACAGCGGCGCCCATTGGCGGCCACACAGGGCCCGGCTAAGCCCGGCCGCGCTGTCCTGGCCGGCCCCCCAAGTCCCGAGCCCCACTGCAGCCCCTGCCCTCACCATGGTACCGCCGCCGCCGTCCGAACCCGAAAGCCACCGCCGCGCCCGACCCGCCTCAGGAGCCGCCAGACAATGACCCGCCCGGGCGGGGGCGGCGGGCCGCGCCGCGTCGCCACCAATCACCGCCTCCCATACTAATTTGAACATCCCGTGACGCCCAATGGGAGAGCCGCTTCTTTCCCCGTCCATCTCTGGCTCCGCCCCGCGGCTCGTTTAACGGCTGTGTTGCTTTTGCACACGGCACACAGCGGAGTGAGGGCGGGGAGTGCTCGCGTCGGTGATGTCACCACCCGACGAATAGTAATAACGAGCACCGCGGCGTGAGGAGGGGTCAGGGTGATTGACAGCTCATGGATCCAATAGCAATAGGGTGATGTTTCCCGCCCATTCCATCGCTCCGCCCCGGGTCGTGTTTGTTTGAGGGAGCCGGGGGGGTGGGGGGCGGGCCCTGAGGGGGGCGCGGGGGCTTGGCGGGCCCAGGAGGGCCCAGGAGGGCCCCGGTTCCCGCCAGAGGGTCCCACAGGGCCCTGGGCCTGCCAAAGGGCTCCGCGGGGCCGTGGGATTCGCTCCTGACGTGGCCGGCCCTGCTCGGGGCTGAGAGAGGCCCCGGCGTGAGGGGAGCCTGCTCGGGGACACCCAGGCCCGCTGGTGCCTCTGAGCCTCCCTGTTTCTTTGGGGCACTACACAAATAACCCGGCGCTGCCCCATAGGCTGAGTGAGAAGGACAGCGGTAGTGAGGTAACATGGACCCCGCAGCCCCTGGGCTGGACCGGGGGCTGGGGCGGACCCTGAGAGGCCGAAGGGACTGCCAGTGGTGACGGCAGGGATCAAGCGTGGCCAAAAAAATCACGGCACTGTTACGGGGAATAAAACCCCTTTGCCCAACAAACGTTTTACAGAAAACTCAGTTTCTCATGACGAGCCCCTTTCAGTGTCCGATGGAACCCGATTGTGTGACAAGCGGAATTTATAAATGGAACTGGGGATTCCCGAGCGAGGGTCGTTGACGGGGCAGCAGCTGCGGAGCTGGCGGGCCTCACACAGCGCAGCCCTGCCCGGGCTGGGGCCGGAGCCCGGGCCCCTCAGCCCGGCTGCACCCGGCGCGGTCACTGTCCCCATGTCCCCACGGCCATCGGTTGCCGGGCCTCAGTTTCCCTCCAGCAGCGGGCGGGGTGGAGGGCACCGCACAGTCCTCGCCCCTCGCCGCAATGCCGGGGGGGCTCAGGGGTCCCAGCCCCACGCCCACCCTGCTCCAGCCGGAGGTACGGGCTGGGGGAGGGAGGCACCTGTTACTGATTCCCCCGCCTGTCCCGACCGCCGTGCCAGTTTCCCTGCACCGAGCTGCAGGGCCGAGCTGCACCGTACAGCCCGCGCCCCTCGCTGCAGCTGCCGGGGAGGTTCAGGGTGCCGCCGGCCCCTCATCCCGCACCTGTCCCGGCCAACAACTGCCCCAGACTGGGCCCCTCCGGGCTCCATCCAGCTGACATCCCCGGCTGTCCTCGGGGCCCCTCCAGCTGTCCCCAGCTCCCCCGACCCCCGGGTCCGGCCGAGGGGGGAGCCGGAGCAGCTGCGGGAATATCTGGGCCGGGGCTTCGGGGGTCGCAGCAGGCCCCGGTGGCGGTGACAGTGACGGCGGCGGCGGCTCATGCGCAGGCGGGTCCCCGCGTGTCCTCAGATGAGCCCGAGCCCGCAGGGAGCCGCAGCGCGGGGGGCGGGGGCTGCGGCACTGCCGGTGGGGACACGGCACAGCGGGGACACGGCACGCAGCTCCGGCCGCGGCACATCCCCGCTACACACACGGGCACAGCGGGGACACGGCACGCAGCTCCGGCCGCGGCACACCCCCGCTACACACGTGTGGCACAGCCGTGTGATGGCACGCACACCTGACACACCGCGCAGTCGTGTGTGTGGCACACAACCCTTTCGCATCTGTGCACACACACCTGTGCGCGCACCTGCCTGAGCCATGGCACACACACCACACACGCGCCACGCCAAACCCTCCCAGCCTTACACCCGCACACGGCAAGCCGCCATATGATGGCACACACGCCTTACACACACTTTACACACACACACCCACAGCAGGCAGCCATGTGATGGCACAAATGCCTTATACTCTCTTTACACTCACCTTACACACACACACCTCGCATACTTTGCACACACCCACACACACGTAATTCCTGTGCACACAACCAGCCTGAGCTGTGACACAACACGTCTAAGCCACGCCAAACCTTCTCCCTCCCCACCGTACTGGTACCTCACACCCCCAGCTCCTCTGAGTCAGATGATTCCCTCAGGACAAGATGGGGGACCCAACGTTCCCTATTTGTGTCCCCGCCACCTTCGCATCCTGCATGTCCCTGTAGAGCTGCAGGGTGACCACCCCACCCCTCACCACAGTGGTGGCACCACCTCCACCCTCCAGAGCCTCCCACGGCACCCCCAAGGAGCAAGTCAGGCCCAGGCTCGTTTTCATTCACTTTTCCGCATACTTTATTTGTTACAAACATACAATTCTTTAAATATAGACTGTAAAACTCCATTTGCAAAAATCTGCTACGTCAGGAGTGCTCGGAGCAGGAGGAGTTCGTCGCGTCGGCCTCATCTGCGCTAGTGGTAACACCCAGGACCTGCCTCCGGCCCCTGGAGCCGCCCCGCCGGCTGCAGGGAAGGGACACGGGGGCCCCGGTCCCCCCGGCTGCCTAAAGTGCAGGTTTGCTTTAGTTTTTGTTTTTCTTTCATTAAAAAAATAACAGGAATAAAACTTTATTTTTTTTTCTCTTTTCGGCAAAGGGACATCATGGCGAGCGCTCGGGGAGGGAGGTGGCGCTCCTGGGATCTGCTGCTCAGAGGAGGATCCGACATTCATAGGATCCAGTTGTCAGAGGATCCAGCTCTCCGAGGAGGATCTGCTGCTTGGAGAAGAACCCAGCTCAAAGAGGAGGGTCCAGTGTTTGGAGGATCCAGCTCTCAGAGGATCCAACTCAGAAGATCCAGCTTTTGGATACAATTCTTGGAGGACCCAGCTGTCAGAGAATCCAAGTCTGGGAGCGCCTGGCTCTTGGAGGAGGATCCAGTGCTCTCCCCTCTGATGCTGTCCCAGCCTCCTGGCTGGGCTGACCTGTGTGCTGGGGCCTGGTGAGCCACCTGTGCTGGACCAGCTGCCTCTCAGCTGCTGCTCCGAGGCCAGAGCCCCCTGGGGCCGCTGTTGTGGGGCTGACCCTGGGGGCTGCAGGCTGTGCGGTGCTCCTTCCTGGCTGTCCTGCCTGGATCTGGGTTCTCCTGCCAACACCCAACCCCGGCTCCGTGTGGCTTGGCTCCAGTGCCGCTGGCTCTACCGGCTCCGCGAGGATAAGGAGGGCGATGGCACCTGTGGCCTCGCCCTGCAGGAACATCTGGGAGCATCCATGAAGCCAGCTGGGATTTCCCACTGGGAACACCTACTGAGCTCCGTGGTGCACCACTCTGCGTACCCCCAGTGCTCTCTCAGCTGCTTTTTTTTTATCTTTTCCAGTTTTTTTTGCAATTTTTTTCCACTTTTTGCTTTTTTATGAGAGGCCAGTGAGGGGTTGGGTTGGTTTTGTCACCAACATGAGGAGCCGCCACTGGCACTGCCCCCCAAACCATCCTACACCGCTCCTGAATCGCCTGGAAACAGGCAGGAGAATCTGAATTTTCTTCCATGTTTTTTAGGGCAAAAAGAATTGAAGCTGTTTGCACTTGCCCTGGAAGCACCACCCACTCCAGACCCAACCATTTGGGGTATTTTCCACTGGGTTTTGGGGCATTGTACAAGACTTCCAATATTCTGTCTGTACAGCCATCATCGCGTTCTCCATCAACCCCTCTGGGGCGGCAAAGCTGGAAGTACCAGGATTTTGGGATATTTTTCCCCTATTTGTGGTTTAAAAATAAAAAAAAAAAAAAAGCAATTTGCCCATTTTCTACAGAATTCAACCCAAAACCCAACCAAATCTGAGCTATGTACACACAGCCATGTCTATACACACAGAGATGGGAAGGGGGTTCAGGGGAGATGCCGGCGTTGTCCTGCTTTCCTGGGAAACACCCAACGGCTCCAGGGGGACTCCAAGAGAAAAACAACCCAAAACTTCTCCCCCAAGATCCCCTCCCCCATGGCAGCCCCCATGGCCGCTCCCCTTGTTTCAGCTGGCACCTCAAATCCCCTTTTTTCCCTATTTTATCTCATTTTGTCTGTTTTTTCTGCTGTCTTCCCCCGACGTGCTCTGCTCTTCCCACCCAAATGGAGCTGTGGGAGGTTCTGTCCATGGATCCAGCACTTCTCTGGCCAGGAAAGACTCCCTGAGCCAACGCCGGGAGCTTTTTTGGGTTTATTACTGGATTTTGGTGGTTTTGCCTTTTTTTTTTTTTTTTCCTCTTCCATGTATTTCTAGCCAGCTCCCAGAGCTGGGCCGGGCCAGCAGTGATTCCGCCGCTCTCCCAGAGTAGAAATAAGGCTAAATCACCGCAATTCAGCCAAAAGAAAGAAACCCAAAGGAATATATATATATTTTTATATATATATATATATATATATATATATATCTCTCATCCTCTTCAAAAATAAAAGGAGAGGTCCCGCGGCTGGACGCCGGTGAGTCCCGCGGAGGTGGGAGCATTTTTCCCCCCAAATCCATTGTCGCCGTCGTGGTTTATGGTTTTTCTCCGTGGCAAAGAACACAGGACCAGGAGGATGGGTGGATACAGCAGGAATTCACCGGAAAGAGCTGCCTGAGGGTACAAAATACAGTACGGACACATCAGCCATCGAGGAAGGACTATTGCTCCCGTGTGATTGAGTGAGGGATCCGGGTCCTTTGCGACGGAGAAGGCTTAAAAACGGGATCAACGGAAGAAATTCGCTTTAAAAATCCCTTTAAAAACAGCGACGGCAGCGGGAGCAGTGGGAGCAGCGGGATGGGGCCGGATGGACGGATGGACAGCAGCATCCCTGCGGTGCGGGGGTCCCCCAGGGCTCTGCGGCTGTTCCTCACTTCCCAATAAATATGGAGAGTGGGAGATGCCGGATCCATGGTAATAAATTAAGGAGGCAGCTGATTGGGCTCCCAAAAATGGATTAAAAGGAAAAAAAAAAAAAAGAAAAAAAAAAAAAAAAAAGAAAAGTCCTAAAATGGTGAAACCGTTGGAGAAGAAGAGGCAAAACTTTGGAATGAGAGCGATGGAGTTCAGAGTTGTGGGAAAACGGGGTGAAAAACCGGAATTCTGGGAAGGGCGGGACTGAGCTGAGGGAGTGAAAAAGAATTAAAAAAAAAGACTATTTGAGAGTGGAAAAATGTGTTTAATAGGAGGTGGTTGTAGGGACCAGGCAGCGCCAGGGCCAGGCCCAGGGGGGCATAAAAAGACAAAAGGAGGCAAAAAATAACAATAAACCTCCAAAATCCACCCCCAAGGTGCCGGGGCCGGGCGTGGCCACGGATTTGGGGCCGGAAAATCCAATTTGGGTGAAGCCAAGGGGCGGATTCCGGCGGGTCCTAGTGAAACGGGGCCGGAGGCGCCTTATTTGGAGAGAAGTGGAAGATGGTTCGCCCCGTCGAGTTTTTCCTTGTGCTTTGTGCCGGCGCCTCCCCCTTTCCGGCGGGAAACGGGGAGGGGGGGAAAAACGGTCAGAAATCGGCAAAACCGAGAAAATATTCCCTAATTGTCAGGGAGCCGCCAGCTCGGGGCCGGTTCCAGTTCGGGTGCCCGGAGTTTGCATCAAAAAAACAAACAAAAAAAACCCCAAAAAACAAAACAAAACCAAAAAAAAAAAAAAAAAGAAAAAAACCACCCCCAAACAAAACAAAACAAGCCAAAAAAACACGTGGAAAGAGGAAAAAAGGAAAAAAAAAAAAAAAAAAAAACAGAAAAAAACCAACACCAAACAAAACAAAACAAGCCAAAAAAACACGTGGAAAGAGGAGAAAAGGAAAAAAAAAAAAGGAAAATGAAGGAAAAATCACAAGCCGAGGGAACGGCCGTTGGTCCAAGGTGCCTCCGCTGCTCCCCCCCGGCGCTGCCGCAGCTCCGGGGCCCTCGGGTGCTGGTTTTGATGGGGGGGCTCCGGGAGGGGAGGGGGCTGCGGGGGAATCCCCGTCCCCCCCCAAAGCAGCGACTCCTGGGGGCCGGGGGTCCCGTGGTGGGAGCAGGGGAGGGGGCGAGGGGGCCGCGGGCGGCGGCACGGTCGGGCCGGTTTCTCTCTCTCCGGTGGCGGCAGGAGGGGGGGCTCGGGGGGGGCT